AGGCTCGATCTGCAGACTATTTCCGATCTCGGATTGTATAAGCTATTGAGAGAATACTGAGTTATAATAGCACAACCGAAGTGATAGTTACCCCCAAAACCGGATTTGTTATCTACTTTTGACAATTTTCCTTTTTTGAATGAATGTTTTCAATAAATTGGGGAAATATCGATAGAAGTAGAGCTGGAATGAGAGTTATTTCCAAAATTGGATTTGTAAGCAATTTTTCACGACGTTTTCAGAATTATAGAAAATATTTTTGGTGGGTTTGAGGGAGTCCAGTTTGTTGACCAAGACCAAGACTATCCATATTCGATCATGGTCTCTGTCTTGGTCTCGTGCTTGGTCTTTCTTGTACTTTCGCAAGACCAAGACCAAAACCGCAAAAGCAAGACCGATTTTGCCCAGTCTAATATTAGTTTTCTCCTAAAGACCATTTGCAGGCTATTTTTAGCAGCAGCCTCATTATTGTACAACTTTTCTGGGAAAAATACAGTTAGAAGCAGGGTTGGACTCAGGGTTTATTCCAAAAAACACGGGTGTAGGTACGCTACATTTGACGATGTTACCATTAATATACAAAATTGTTCTGAAAAGGTTTAAAGTACAGGCTAGGCTCAATTCGATTTTGTAAATGCACAAAGAACATTTCAACGAGAAACTGCGCTTAGTTTGTCACATAGAATGATTATATGTATAATTGTTGTAAATTGTAACACATTCCGGCATTTATTCTGTTATCATTGGTTGCATAAACTCCCAGTATGTCTTTTGCAATTAGACATTTAGGTTAATGTCTTGGAAATAGAATCAAATAGTAATTAAACTAGTTCTCTGATAGCTCGGTGCAATTCGCTTTACTCAACTAATGAAAGAGCTTCATTGAATGTTACCTTCGGGAGATTCGGAGTTTGAAACCTAACCGTCTACTATCCCATTTACTACATCGAAATAACGTTGACAGTAATTATTACTTATCTAATTGTAAACAGTATCAGTCATAAAATTTACAATGCACACAATCTTATTGAAAGTTTTTGAATAATTTATACGTATCATCATCATCATCATCATAAGGTCGTCAGTCCCAAAACCGGTTGGACACGTACCTCCACTCTTTCCTATCCTGAGCTAAACTTCGCATTTCCTTCTAAAAGTAGAACAACCCACATCTTTAACTATTTGCGAACCTCTACTCCTCCTAATTCCCGTTTCTGCCTCTAATATGTCCCTGACTAGACCTTCTTGTCTGAGCAGGTGTCCTACCAACCTATCTCGCCTATTTCTTATTGACTTCCATGTAGTCCTCTGTTCTCCTATTCTTTCCAATACCTCTTCATTTCTAACCTTTTCTATCCACGTTATCCTCATCATTCGCCTATAACACCACATTTCGAACGCTTCTAACCTTTTCTACCCACGTTATCCTCATCATTCGCCTATAACACCACATTTCGAACGCTCCTAACCTTTTCTTTTCCGCCGCGCCCACTGTTCGTGTTTCGCACCCTTACAACGCCACGCACCAAACATACACCTTATATGAAGATAATATTCTGTTTGGACAACAAGAAATGCCGCAACGTTATATTGACTTTCACACAAGAATGATTTACACCACTATTTATTTAATCCTTATTTCCTGGGTCTTTTATCTGCAAACGACGGATAAAGAATATGGTGGTATTCTGTGTGTTCGTGCGGAACAAAAACTCTATTATTCTCAGCGCTCTTTTGAATTCCTCAAACAGCTCCACTCGTATAGAAAATACAGGCCTTTCATTACCTTTTGATCCCTTTTACTTCGTTAGATTTAAGGTCAACTAGACTTATGTCCTCTGATTAATTGGAAAAGCCATAAAGCGCTGTGTTTGGGTTGCATCAACTCCGTGTTTATTTTGTCCTTATTTTTAATTTTACTTCGGATTTTCTCTGCACTCTGTGCTCCTTGATAATATCTCATTCGGTTAAATTAATAAATTAAAATTAAACTTTGAAGAAGGATATGCCACGAAACTACCAATTAAATTTCGAAGGGTTTAAAACCTAGCGCAAATACTGTTTTGGTGTTACAGTGATAAAGTTAAATCAAAGTTATTCAAGCAAATGTTAATTTACAATAGAAGATTAAGGTTTAATGTTATAGTAAACTGTTAAAAACAAATTTTAACGTATAATATAGTCTAAATCATAACGTGGCATTCAAAAAGACATCACTTCAATTTCGGATGTGCTGGGCCATGTTTTCTATGGTTATCTTGGGCTATTTAGGCAAATGCTGGAGCAGTTAGGTATCATCATCATAAAGTCGTCAGTCCTAAGACTGGTTGGACACGCACCTCCACTCTTTTCTATCCTGAGCTAATCTTCGCAATTCCCTAAAACTATAACATCCCACTGTGAACAGTAATCTAGTCTAATTCTACTTCTACCCCTCCTAACTCATGTTTCTGCCTCTAGTATGTCTTTGATTAGACCTTCATGCCTGAAAAGCTGTCCAATCAACCTATCCCGCCTATGTCTAATTGACTTCCATAGAGTCCTCTGTTTTCCTATTCTTTCTAATACCTCTTCATTTCTAACCTTCTCTATTCTAACCTTTTCTTTTCCGCCTAGCCCATCTTCCATGTTTCACACCCGTACAGCGCAAACATACATCTTTAACAATCTTTTTCGAATTTCTAAATTAACCGTTCGCGAGCAGTTAGGTATATTCCCTAGATAATATTTTATTTCTTTTCTGTGTGTAAAGTAATAGGTCAATTGAAAAGTCCCCGGCCTGACACATAGATAGCGGCACCAGAACTAAATCCATATGATTTTCAGTTAGTCCGATCCTTCAAAAGACGCGTCTATAAATTTGACGGCTGTCGGATCATTAGTTTGTGAATTATAGCATTTTTAGTGAAGCAACTTTTGTTATTGTGAAAAAAATGGATAAAAAGGAATTTCGCGTGTTGATAAAATATTGCTTTTTGAAGGGAAAAAATACAGTTGAAGCAAAAACTTGGCTTGATAACGAATTTCCGGACACTGCCCCAGGAAAATCAACCATCAAGGATTGGTATGCTAAGTTTAGACGTGGTGAAATGAGCACCGAAGACGGTGAACGCAGTGGACGCCCAAAAGAGGCTGTTACGGACGAAAACATTAAAAAAATCCACAAAATGATTTTGAATGACCGTAAATTGAAATTGAATGAAATAGCAGACACTCTACAGATATCAACGGAACGTATACATCACATCATTCACGAATATTTGGGTATGAGAAAGCTCTGTGCAAAGTGGGTGCCGCGCGAGCTCACTTTTGACCAAAAACAACGACGAGTTGATGATTCAGAGCAGTGTTTGAAGATGATCACGCGTAATAAACCCGAGTTTTTGCGTCGATATGTGACAATGGATGAAACATGGCTCCATCATTTCACTCCGAAGTCCAATCGACAGTCATCGGAGTGGACTGCACACGATGAACCCGCTCCAAAGCGTGCAAAAACGCAACAGTCGGCTGGCAAGGTTATGGCGTCTGTATTTTGGGATGCGCGTGGAATAATTTTCATTGACTACCTTGAAAAAGGAAGGACCATCAACAGCGACTATTACATAGCGTTATTGGACCGTTTGAAGGACGAAATCGCCGAGAAACGACCGCATTTGCAGAAAAAGAAAGTCCTGCTTCACCAAGACAATGCACCGTCTCACAAGTCAGTGAAAACGATGGCAAAAATTCATGAATTGGGCTTCGAATTGCTTCCGCATCCACCGTATTCTCCAGATCTGGCCCCCAGCGACTACTTCCTGTTCTCAGATCTCAAAAGAATGCTCGTTGGGAAAAAATTTTCGTCGAATGAAGAGGTGATCGCCGAAACTGAGGCCTATTTTGAAGCAAAGGACAAATCGTACTACAAAAATGGTATCGAAAAGTTGGAGGATCGCTATAATCAGTGTATCACCCTTGAAGGGAATTATGTTGAATAAAAAAAACGAATTTTGCAAAAAAAATGTGTTTTACTATTTTAGGCCGGGGACTTTTCAATTGACCTGTTATTTCGTCAGTCTCATTTGCCTTCCTTCAACCACCGTTCTTCCAGTTTAAACTGAAGACTAAATAAATCTTTCCACCTTATATTCCGGCTTTGCACAAGAGTGATAATACTTTCTCATACTTATAAACTTTAATTGTTTCATTTCAATTAGATGGTTAATGTTCCAAAATAGATCTCTATTATAAAATACCTAATAAATTGGAAGAATTTTATGCAAGTCAAAATAGCTAGTGTTTGTAATTGCTTACTGATTGCAATCTTTTGCTTTACAGTTTTCTTAGTACCTACGTTTAAATGTTTATTCTTTACATAAGAAACCCAAAATTCTATCGTTTTAAAAAATCGGAAAATAAATGCTTCAGGTAAAGAATATTTGGCTACTTATATATGTCACATTTTGTATTTTCAAAACTGCCGCTACTATGACATTCAACGTTGACTTATTTTACAGAATATTGTGATTTGATTATTATATTCAAATTCAGTGAATTACTTTGCATAGAGTTGTATGAAAAATGTGTAAAAATCTTTATTTGAAACATTTTCTTTTTTAAAACATAATTTAAAATATATGAAATACTGTATCCCATCTATGTATACCAATTTTTATATAGGAATAATTTGAACATTATATACTATATTAAAGAAAAAAATACATTTTTGTATTGNAAATTCAGTGAATTACTTTGCATAGAGTTGTATGAAAAATGTGTAAAAATCTTTATTTGAAACATTTTCTTTTTTAAAACATAATTTAAAATATATGAAATACTGTATCCCATCTATGTATACCAATTTTTATATAGGAATAATTTGAACATTATATACTATATTAAAGAAAAAAATACATTTTTGGATTGATTTTTAAAATCGCTACTTGAAATTTGATGTAGTGCTTATAATTTGGTAAAAGCTTTTGGAATTATTTTTACAGCCTTTTCTTTTCTTACAGGAATTTTCTTTATACTACCTTGTATCGATGCATATGCTAGAGTTGACCTACGTACAAGAACTTATGATATTCCCCCTCAAGAGGTTAGTTGTGTGTCAAATAATACAATTAAAGTCTACTTCAGTAAAGACTTTAATTTTATATGTGTTGCATGTTGTCTGTCTGTGTTTTGTACACTGCTTTTTTTGCATTGGCATCACATGTTGTTTTTAAATAATTAACGCAAATTAACAGCTTTTTTAACTAGGTATCAGGGTAGGTGTTATCGTAGGGTCGAATTTATATATATTAGTTTTGGTATTTTCTTAACTGGTTTGTTTAAAATACCGTAAATGTTAGTTACGTACGAATTCTAAATTTACGAATAAATGGAGAAAAAAATTTGCGTTTGGCTATCGAATAATTTTGCAAAATTGACTGCATCGAGTGGAATAGTATCGAAATGCGTTTTTAAACAAATTACCCTTGCCTAAGGGTTACAGTACGAGGGTGGATTGATAAGTTTCCGGCCTAACCAAGAGATGACGCCACTAGGCCTACCTTGAGGTGACATTCTATAGTACCATCCTTGGATAGCTTGTAGCTATAGTTTCAGCCCGATCTCCTTGCTAGTGTAGGTTTGACAGCACGCTGAACAAGACGCCTCTGTGGTTTTCGTAAAAATGGAAAAGCAGGAAAATCGTGCTGTCATCAAATACTTTTATTTGAAGGGGTTAACGCCGAAGGAAATTAAAAAAGAGATGGACTCAACACTGGGGACATCCTCCCCGTCATATTCAACCGTTAAGCAGTGGGTTTCCGAGTTTAAAAAGGGTCGTGTGAGCACCTCTGATGGGCCTCGCTCAGGACGCCCCGTTGAGGTCACAACTCCAGATATGATCGAAAAAATTCATCAAATAGTGCTGGGAGACCGCAGATTGAAAGTGCGTGAGATAGCTGAGACCTGTAAGATGTCATATGAACGTGTGCAACATATTTTGCACCAACATTTGCATATGGAAAAGCTCTGTGCAAGATGGGTGCCGCGTTTGCTAACAGTCGACCAAAAATTGATTCGAAAAAACATTTCTACCGCAAATTTGTCATTGTATAAGCGTAATCCAAGCGAATTTTTGCGTCGATTCGTAACCGTTGACGAAACGTGGGTCCACCACTACACTCCTGAAACCAAAGAACAGTCTAAACAGTGGATTGGACCAGGGGAACCAACTCCAAAGAAGGCAAAAACAATTTTTTCGGCGAACAAGGTTATGGCTACTGTTTTTTGGGATGCAAGAGGTATTATATACATTGATTACCTTGCAAAGGGTAATACTATCACTGGTCAATACTACGCAGACTTATTGCAACGTTTGAGCCACGAGGTGAAAATTAAACGACCTCATCTGGCGAAGAAAAAAATCTTGTTTCATCACGATAACGCACCAGCGCACACGTCAATCGTTGCGACGGCTAAAATCAACGATCTAAAGTTTGAATTGATGCCGCACCCTCCTTACTCTCCAGACCTAGCCCCGAGTGACTATTTTCTGTTCCCTAATCTCAAAAAATGGCTTGGCGGTAAGAGATTTGCGGACAATGAAGAAGTAATCGAAGCTGTAAATGGTTATTTTGAGGAGCTTGACGAATCAGTCTATAGAGATGGCATTAATAGACTGGAACACCGCTATGAGAAATGTATCAGCCTTGGAGGAGATTATGTTGAGAAATAAAAAAAAAAAATTTTTAAAAACCTTGTTTTTCTTGGTCAGGCCGGAAACTTATCAATCCACCCTCGTAATTTGTGGAACGCTAACGGTTGCTTTATAGGAACAAGCCGAACAGAAAGATAAAATCATTTGTTGTTTCCCAATTCGGAAATTGAACGTTGAGAGAGGGATAATGTTGGATTTTTTTTCTGTCAAAGGTTATATCGCTTCCAGCCAAAGAACGAACACATTGATTAGGTATTAAATTATTGTACGATAAAGCGGAAATCCGTTTAAAATCCTTATACTGAGCTCACCTGTGAAATAATCCAATGGGGTTTCAGTTGATCGGCAACGAAAAGTAAACAACCATCAAATAAATATAGGGTTACCGAAACTACTCAACGAAACTAGTAGTAGTAGTAGTAGTAGTAACGAAATGAGTATTTTTTTGCTTGAAAACAGTTAATTAGGCAATTCCGAAAAAGTTATTTAATTATTATAATTATATAGGAATGTGAGATACTCTAGCCTTTAGCAAATGCGAAGATGGGCTCAGGATAGTAAGGAATGGAATCCAATCAATTGGTATGTGACATGTGGGCGCGGCCTAATGAAGATGGCTGTCCATACATTGCATCAGTATTATAGAAAGCATTGCATATTGTGATTTTTAATTTTTCTAATGATGAATTTAAAAACAATTTTTGATTGGGCTAATGCAAATGCAAGCTCAAGAAGTGTTGTGGAAACCGAAAAATTTTTGAAAGCTGGCCACATAATAAAATGTGGAAAAAATGTTGATAAAACAGGTGATACCGCTTGATATTTGCACTTCAACATCTCGCATTGATGGCGTTAGAGGTACTACTTCTGCTTGAGCATTCCATAAATTTTCACCATTTGATGAGTTATGATCTAATTCTTCTGATACTAAATCTTTTTCCTGCTTCTCCATTAATTCTTCAATTTTTTTACGTCGATTAATTTTTCCAGTTTCTATTTTGACATTAGGTAAGTTATTAGACGGGACAGCATTCCTTTTCAGTTTTCTGCGTTTTACTGCAACATCTTTAAAAATTAACGCATAAATTTTAGCATCACATTGGAGTTATAAAGTGAGGTTAAGTATAGAAATACAACATTTTCGATTATTACTTNTTTTGACATTAGGTAAGTTATTAGACGGGACAGCATTCCTTTTCAGTTTTCTGCGTTTTACTGCAACATCTTTAAAAATTAACGCATAAATTTTAGCATCACATTGGAGTTATAAAGTGAGGTTAAGTATAGAAATACAACATTTTCGATTATTACTTACCCGGAAAAATGTAGTCATCTTTTTTAAAATAAAGTGAGCAAACTCTTGTACATGAACTGACATTTTTAATTTTTAAAGCTCTTTTCCAAGCTTTAATTTGATCGATTTTCTCAAGATTACCAAACACATTTGTGATAGTTACGACCCGTTGCACCGTAGGAAAGCTATGAAATATAATATCTAAGACCTTATCTAATCGACTTTTACAACCTTTTACAGCACAAACGGTTCTGCACTTTGATTTTGCACGAAATAGAAATTTGGCTAGTTCCATATTATATAAAATATTAATAACCACAATTTGCAAAATAACAGTACACAATAGCTGTTTATTACAATGCAATGCTTGGGCAGTTAAAATTTCTGCCACCAGGAGCCGTATCGTTTTATGTCATATCCCAATTGTCAAATTACACTTTGTTCGTTGCGCCAGTTGCATATTATTCCTGATTGTTGTTCGTTTTGTTACACACTAAAGCGTTGTCATTCTGTTTCTGATAATTATTTACTCTTGAGAAATCTGTTAATTCTTAAAAAAACTCTATATATGTACCTAATCTAGCTGTTGGTGTAGAACTTTAAATACGACGATAGTCCATTTTCCTTTTCCGTTAATAAACATAACTTTCTTTACGTTGACTGTAGGAAAGCAATGAGGAAATAAATTCGATCTAAAATTAACGATTCACAAATTCATAGTAGGTGCTTTCCCGAAGTAAGAATTTAACAACAATCAATCGTGGAAAATTACTGTCACGTACAAGAGTAGGTACCTACGTAACTGTATGGATCTTGACGTCACTCAAATTTTTTTACTGTAGGAGAGAGACAAGACATTAACTACACATTTAACACTATAGGGCTTGATGATTAATGACCTAAACTGCGGTAGCGACCGTTTTACAACGAATAACTTCAGTTCCTGTAGGACATATAGAGGAACTTACGTCATGTTTTAGTAGCAAGTTTCTCAAAACGATCGATACAAAGTGTGAGAAAATAAGTGGTTAAATGGCACTTATGTACATAAAGGCTGGCGTTGATAATTCCCGCATTATGAAGTGGGCGAAACAGGTATCTGCAATAATCAATTTAGATTGGTAATTTGGATCTCTACTTAGTTGAATTAATTAATTAGGAATATACCGTGGATAGAGAAGGTTAGAAATGAAGAGGTATTAGAAGGAATAGGAGAACAGAGGACTCTATGGAAGTCAATAAGAAATAGGCGAGATAGGTTGGTAGGACATCTTCTCAGGAATAAAGGTCTAGTCAGAGACATATTAGAGGCAGACACGGAAGTTAGGAGGGGTAGAGGTAGACCTTGATTAGATTACTGTTCGCAAATAGTTAAGGATATGGGTTGTTCTTGTTTTACGGACTTGCGAAGATTAACTCAGGATTGGAAAGATTGCACACACCTCCAGTGCCCACCCAGTCTTAGGACTGGCGACCTTATAATGATCCAATCAGTACAATTGCTACTCCCAAGCACTTTCTAGAAAATTCTAAACCGACGTTTGATGACAAATTGGTAGAGGCTTTTGCGGCCAGTAAGTGAACTAATGCTGTCCTAGTTCTGGTCTAACTCCACATCCAGCAACGACGGCCTTTAGACCTAAATCAAAGCAAATCCAAACGTACACCAGACTCAAAGCTCAAACATTATAGGAGAGATTTCAAGCATTTTTTAGGACACTTTTGTCAAAATATACCAAAATGCTCTAATTTACTGTTAGAACTCAGCTTCACCATTCAAACACCGAAACATAATGCTGCACAACATTTCAGAACATTCTCGATTTTCCGGTTCTACTCTAGAACATTCTACTTCATATTCGCATACATTTTGGTAGGTACATTTTCACTCATTCCAAACGGGTGTTTGACATATAAAACGCTCTAATACAGTGTCAGAGACTACTGACCGGCATGGTCTAGAGGGGAGGACGCCGGTTCGATTCTGGGTCCGTCTGCCTTGGTCCAAGTTTTTCTGCGGTTTCCTTGGATCACTTAGGCAAATATTGGGGCAGTAATATTCCACAAATAATTTCTCATTCTCATTTTCTTCCGT